ATCATCATCATCATCATCATCATCATCATCATCATCATCATCATCATCATCATACTGTTCTGTCGTCTTTACTCATTGAGTGGGTGGTTGACGAGTTCTGTAGTGTGTTTTTTCTCCATATTTCTTCTCAAACACCAATTGTCCTTATCTCTTTTTCTTCTCTTTCTATGTCACTCTCTGGTTTCATCTAGATTCTTTGTCATTTAGATGACCTATTTGTATTGCATTGTACAAAAATTGAGACTCTATCTCGCTTTTTCCCTACACATGACCGTTACTGTGTCCAGCTGCTTCTTTTTAACTTCTCGTCTTGCCATTAATCGTCGACAATTTTCAACTCTTCTATGTGAGTGGTTGGTGGGTGCTCTGGTGTGGTTTGATTCTTCCTTCCTATGAAACATTTATCGTCTTTATCTCCTCCACTTCTTTTTTATGTTTGTAACTCTCTTGTAACACCTCTAATCTTCTGGCGCTCATATGACCTTATGCAGTTGCGAGCGCCGTAAAACCTCTACTAAAACTAAAAAACAACTCTTCTATCCTCCTCTTAGGTTACTTTTCGTTATTTTCAAATCAGTTGTTGGAGTGATTGAAAGGAGCCACTGGTAGGTTCTACTCTTTTCTTTCCTTCTGTGGTTTCTGTCTGTCCGTCTTACTTTTTCCCAGCTATAAATGACCGTTAATGTGTCCATGTGCTTCTTTTTTCCCTAAGAAACAAACAAACAAACACACAAACAAACAAAGCAAACAAAAGAACTTGTCAACTATGTATCTTTTTTTCAAACAAATGTATTGGTGGTTGGTGTGTGTTCTGATGTGATTTTCCCCTTCTTTCTTATAAACCATCTATCTCCCTTATATCTCCTTCTTTTCTGTGTTTGTTACTCTCTTTTAACACATCTAATCTTCTACTCGTATAAGACCTAATTGTGTTGTAAGTGCCACAAAACTCTAAATCAACAACAACAATGAAACAAATGTTAATGTTCTCCCCCCCCCCCCCCCAGTGAGATGATGAAGGGGAACAGGGCCAACGACAGAGCCGTCAAACTGCGGCGTATCAAGGCCAACCGGAAGCGCAAGCCGGACAAAGGTCTGGAGGATCTGTGGAAGCTGCTGGTGGAGCTCATCGCCAAGCGCAAGGCTCAGAACGAGAAACGGTCACAGAACGAGAGCAACTCACGGGCCATGCAGGCGGGAGGGGGAGGACCAGGGCGGAGAGGGAGTATGATGGTGGCTAAACAGAAGGCTAACAAGTAGACAGGTTTTGTGGGAGTATGATGGAAAGTCAACAAGGCCAAACAGAGGTCAAAGGTTTTGTAGAATTATGATTAGAAGGTCAACAAATAGACGAGGGAGTATGATGGTGGCTACACAGAAGGTCATTAAGTAGACAGGTTTTGTGGGAGTATGATGGTGGCTAAACAGAAGGTCATTAAGTAGACAGGCTTTTGTGGGAGTATGATGGTGGCTAAACAGAAGGTCATTAAGTAGACAGGTTTTGTGGGAGTATGATGGTGGCTAAACAGAAGGTCAACAAGTAGAAACATTGTTAGCTTTCTGGCCAAACTGGTCTGTTCATGTTTCTTTTTTTCGGAACATCATCGATCCTATTACCACTGATGCCATAATGTATACATGGAGTTGTTAAATACACAATTAAAGAGGGAAGAGAGAGAGTGGGAAAGAAAGAGAGAGACAGCGACAGAGACAAAGAGAGAGAGAGACAGATAGAGAGAGAGAGAGAGAAAGGCGGAGAGAGAGAGGGGGGGAGACAGCGACAGAGACAAAGAGAGAGAGAGACAGATAGAGAGAGAGAGAGAGAAAGGCGGAGAGAGAGAGGGGGGGGAGAGAGGGAGATAGATAGAGAGAGAGGGAGAGAGAGGTGGAGGGAGGGACAGATGGAGAGAGAGGGGGAGAGGGACAGACAAACAGACAGACTGACAGATAGACAAACAAACTAATAGATATAGACCAAGACACAGAGAAACAGAGCGAGAGAGATAAAGGTAGAGAGAGAGAGAGAGAGTGAGAGTGAGAGAGAGAGGAGAGAAAGACAGACAGAGAGAGAGAAAAAAAGATTAAGACAGGGAGAGAGAGAGAGGGGGGGCGGGGCGAGAGACGATCACACAGACAATATAGTGTGCGTCCTATGTGTTTGTCTTCCTCAAAGAGATGTGTGAAACAGGCAATGATTGTACCCAGTGAATGTCACTCACAGAGGAAGGGAAAGAGGGAGGAGGAGGAGGAAGAGAGAGAGAGAGAGAGAGAGAGAGGGAGAGAGAGAGAGAGAGAGAGAGAGAGAGAGAGAGA